AAGACCACGATATTTTTCATAATGCAGCAATTTAATAATATATAAACACAACACAACAACTAGAAACTTGAATTCTTTTTGGCATACTAGAACAGTACGGAATAAATGTCTTCATATAATTTATCAGCAGTGAACAATATAAGATTTATCAGCAGTGAACAATATAAGTTAAGCATTGCCCAATGCTTTGATTCTTGTACACACCCCTTCTTTTTGTGGCAAATAGGAGTTGATGCACATGTATTTTAAGGTCTTGGCTTGTCTTCTGTCTATGCTTCCTCCCAAAACAACCGGCAACATCCAGCTAGTGTTCAGCAAGTTATACCTAAGCCTCTTCTCTAAAACAATGCTCAAACTAATATGTCCAGTTTGACACCCAACTAGTGTTAGCTGGGTATGATCCTGTTGATAATCAACTGGCATGGGTCTATATTTTACCTATTTGAGATTTATATACCAAATCTTATCTTCTTGATTAACCCAGGTCATGGTGAACTGTTTTGCACAATTATGGGAATATCTTTTTTATGCTTAAGTGTGGGCCTTAAAACTTCTTTTATGAGAATTTGTGTTCAGTACGAGCATCACTAAGGATTTCTTAACTGTACCATTCTTATGCAGGGAAATCAACTATTCTTAGACTTCTGTTCAGATTCTTTGATTCGACTTCAGGATCTGTAAGAACTAGAAGTATATCCCGCGCGTTGCCATGGGATTTTCTTAAAAATAAATCTGTTATATAAATAGCATTACTATATGGTATTCTGTATATTGTGCATACATATGTATGAATTTGACTTGCATGTTATTTTATTGTATCAGATCTAGTAAAAAATCGGTAAACTAATAGAAGAAAAACCAATAAAATATTTGATTACATTATAGAGGAATACGTAGGTGATGAAACAAATAACGTATGTAGATGACTTGTATGTTGATATATTAAAGATTTAAAGTGTTTCACATGATAGAGATGGCATGGACATTTCTTTGTAATTAATAAGGGATGACATGGACTTAGTGGGGAATGTTGTGAACACCTTGCATGAAGAGATAGAACATTTGGTGGGGTCACTTAGTGGGAAATGATGTGGACACCTTGCATGAAGAGAGAAATCATCTAGTGGGGTTTAGCTTTATAAGAGTATATAGATATAGAAGTATTAAGTCCTCTCAAATTTCATGTTGATCTAGCCGACACTCATCTCATGGTTAATGCTTTCAGCTATGTATATTGAAAATTCCATCCACTTGATTTTTTTGGCGTTGCTTTCCTGACAGATACGAATTGATGGGCAAGATATCCGAGGAGTGACACTGGAAAGCCTTCGAAAATGTCTAGGTGTTGTACCTCAGGACACGGTAAGTCCTCTGGTATACATTTGTCAGTGCTGCAGTTTTCAGACTATAGAGAAATGTGGGAATTAGCATTTCTTTGTCAAGTTCTGTTGTATAAGCTGGTTTTCCATGTACAAATTGGATCTTCTAAGTTCTAATTGCTATCATGGGTGAACATCTTTTGAATATTTCTTTGACATTCAAACACGAGTCCAATAACTAGAAAAGGAAATTATAGAACAATATTACGTCTGGAGTTCTGGATTGTGGAATTTATTTAGCACAAGAGAAATCCAATAGCCAACGAACAAAGTTTTGGTGCCCTATGCAACTTTCTTAAATGTAGTGGATCACTAACTATATTGAAGTTCTTATGCTAATGAATTTTCTAGGAATTGTGTCTATACATGCTAACATATGCCAGTCAGCACTGTTCAAAGCCCAACCAAGCTCACATCATAAATATGAGTGCAGGTACTTTTTAATGACACAATTAAGCATAATATACAGTATGGGCGGTTATCAGCAAAAGATGAGGAGGTACCTATTTTCTTCCTAGACATTCCGAAGTCATAGGGCATATAGCATGATCATATGTTTTGTTTTGGAATGATATAGTTTATTTCCATACAGGTCTATGATGCTGCCCGATGTGCTGCTATTCATGATACAATTATGAACTTCCCAGACAAGTACGACACAGTAGTAGGAGAACGAGGATTGAAGGTGAGACAATATATTGTAATTTGCCAAATGAGGAAATTTTGTAACCTGCTGTTACCACATCCAGAATATCTAGCAAATTTGGGTGTACTTTGTTGCAGCTAAGTGGCGGGGAGAAACAACGAGTGGCAATAGCCCGTGTATTCTTGAAGGAGCCCTCCATTCTGTGAGTGTCTCCTTGCTTTTTGTAGTCCTTTTTCCATTTGGTTCTCAATGACCTGAGCAGTGTGTCACAGTGTTTAACCTATTGAGGAAGCCACTCTGTTAGATGCTCTGTTTATGTGCTTCTGCGAGAGTTCACGTGATATGTTGGCCTTGCTGAGTTTAGTTGGACTAGTTTCAAATTACTTGCAGGAAACTTTTTTGCAAATAGTAGGCTTATCCGATGCCCGTTTGTCTTGACTTTTTTCTTCTGTAATATGTCAGATTATGTGATGAAGCAACTAGTGCTCTTGACAGCACTACTGAAGCATCAATTTTGAATTCTCTGAAATCCTTATCTGTTGATCGAACATCAATCTTTATTGCTCATCGACTCACAACTGCAATGCAGTGTGATCAGGTACGCTTTTGCAACTTCTCAAGAAACCATAGTACGTTTTGAATCTATTCTCCAGACATGTATTTGAATTTCAATGCAAGTGGTGATTGGTGAATGTTGTTTGGTTTAATCTTGTCAAGTATTTTGATGATTCCTGTTTATTTTCAGATAATTGTTTTGGAGAATGGGAAGGTAGTAGAACAAGGACCACATGATTTTCTTCTGTCAAAGGGTGGGCGATACGCAGAATTGTGGTATCAGCAGAACAGCAGTGACGCCGGTGATTCTGCTGCAGTTAGCGTAGAGGTTTGATTGACACTGTATATCTTTCCCTTCTGCAAGGGAAAAAGAAGGGAAAACACAAATCATAACTGAGGGATGGAGCCAACTTGTCTGCCCTGTAAATAAAAAAAAAAACACGTACCCAGTGCAGAGAGCTCCCGCTCTGTGTAGGGTCTGGGAAAGGGTGTTAGTGGCAAGCCTTACCCTCGCCTGTGCAATGCGAGGAGACCGCGACTCGAACCCGGGACCTTCCGGTCACAAGCGGTAAGACTCTACCGCTCGCACCAGGCCTGCCTTTCTTGTCTTCCCTGTAAATGGAGGTAGGATTTTGGTATCTGCCTCTAGGTAGCCGGGAAGATGTTTTTTTTTCTTTTCCTTTGAGATTATATATATAGACGATCCCTTCATATTATGGTAATAATGTAACATTTCTGTAGCATAAGGGATAAGCCCAGTAAATATTCAATTGCCTCAGGTGTATAACCATTTTAATATAAATGCTCCCATGCTGTTGTTTCTTGTATATACAACTTGCGTGCACGGTGCACCCAAAATTGGTCAAATCCTACAGGCCTGTTTGGAACGCTGGAAAAATTTCCTGTTCTTAAGTTTTTCCTGTGAAAATCCTGCCTTCCAAACAGGCCTTAAAACATCACAAGTCATCTACCTTTCAGCCATATGATGAGCCCTGGCAGATGTATTGGAGGAAATATACTGGTGCAGGAAACGGTTCTCATGGACTGGCACGGATCAATTGCGGGAAAGCACAATCATAACCTGTTTTTTTTTTTCATCTTGTTCTTGGTCTGGACCTTTAACTCTTCTATATTAATACAAATCTGGCATGATTCATGCCAGTTTTACATTAAAAAAAATCTACGCGCTTTTCTCTTAGTATTTACTTTCCATGTGGCCAAACTAAAAAATTCTTACATGCAGCAAATTTGCCTCTATACCACCGATAGTTGTTAGCTGGTTTTTTGTACCGCCCTGGTGTGGTGTTTTTTTGTGTGTGTGTGTGTGTGTGTGTGTGTGTGTCTCCAGTTTCTCAAGCTTTTACGAGAAGGCATTGTTGCAGCCTTTTCCTACAGCAGATTTTGGTTTCCTTGATCTGCAGAAGTGTTTCACAGCTATTCCACTTGCACCCAGCAGAAGCCGCATGCCAACCTCAGCATAATATGTGTGGCAACTATACCATATAGAGCGCCAGTGTAGTATCATGCCTCCATCAATGCATAGTATGGTGTCATATTCATGGTTGTGGATTATGGTGGTATGGGACCAGTTAATTCGAGTTGAACCAGGATATAACCAGCAGTAATACCTCAGTGCCCAGTTGCTCATGGTCTGTCGCTCGCTATTTCTTACCTTGCAGAATTGAATGGTACCTGCTTAATCTTGCTTTCCTAGTAGCACTTCACATTCTACTCCGTATAATATACTTACATTTTGAAGAAGAGAAACGTTATAACAATATAACATATGGGGGTTGAGAGAAGAATAAGGCCCTCTTCGCTTTGCTAAAAAGTCATGATTGAAAGTACTATTCACTGATTTATTGTGAGAGAAAAACACTGTTCGTTCGCTGAAATAGTACGGCTCATAAGACAAGCGAACAGAGCCTAAATTGTGGCGCTTATGGTAAGTCAGTAACGTACGGGCAGAGCTCTTACAGTTACATCCATGCTCAAAATAGTCTCATAATCCAGAGCTGATATTTGGGACGCTCCACGCATTTCTGACATGAAATTCTGAATCGTGTGAAGCTGTATATTCCTCTTCACCGCTCGTGCTGCATTGCTCCTGTCTATAATCTGCCGTATACCAAAACTGCAGGCCTTGAAGGCCTAGATATCATGGCATTCCGGTGCCTCTACAGTCCAATTAAAGATCTCATTTCTTCTCTCCAAGAAAGAAAATTCCATTTCAGGACGAGCGGTCACAAATACATAGATATACATGAGCTACCAGCTGTAGAATTGAAATCCTCTCCTCTATCTCGCAACATAGTAGTAGCACAAAAGTTGAAGGCAGATGCATTGTCATCATCATCATAGCCCCCCTCTCTCTCCCTCCTTTTTGTTCTAAGGAAGGAAGCACAATAGGACCAGCAGAGATGTCTGGAAAAGGGAAGAGGCGAAGTGCTAGATTGTTGAAGCTGGAGGAGCAGAAGAACGACGGCGACTCCACCGCCGTCTGCCTCCTTGATCCCTGGCAGATAATCCGGAACAGCATTTCCGGTCCGAGCGCGCGAGGGAAAAGAAAAAGGAATGAAGAAATCCAGGTAAAAAATAAAGAATCAATCTGCAGCCATTGGGTGCTTTCAACTCTCTTCCTCCTCCGGTTCTCATCTGCCGGATGATTTTTTAAGCAGTTGCAGGGAGAAGCTTCATGTAGCCACCAGGAGCCAGTATATGCAGCCAACACCAGTACGGAATTTTTGCTTCTTTGTTATCATCGGTAGTGTTGCATTTCCTGTTTAGACATGAGAGTTTCATATTGTTTTTGTTTCAGATAACTTACCAAGCCAAAGCTCAGTAGGACTGATCATTGAATATATCCTCGACGAGTTGGAGCTGTAAGCTTTAGGATCTCTTGTTTTGGCTTGTCCATCAGGCACCGCGTAGTTTCCTGTTATGATGCGTCTTCGTCTCTTGCAGTAGAGACAGGCATGAGTTGTTTGCAATGCCAGATGACATACAGGTAAGAATTAAGAAATGAAGTGATAGATCTGAATTGTTTGTGTTAGAGTGAGAGACTGAAACTCGAACATGTGACACCATTCTTGATGCAACTATTTCTTGTTCCAAGTGAAAGACTGACGACATGTAGCTACAGGTGACTGATTATGCAGAGCTGGTGAGCAGGCCCGGTGACTTTGCAACATTGAGACAGAAGAACAAGGATGGCATGTACACAGCACTGGAGCAATTTGAGGTCCGTCTCTTGACGCAGTTGCACTTGCACGTCGTTATCCTTTCCATTTTACGGTTTAAATTTCCATCCACGGCCTTATAAACAAAAAATAAAAGATCCACCCACGGGACTGAATAAGGAATAACTTCGGTCTCACGATCTTCATTCACTATGCGATCGCAGAACGATGTTTACATGGTGTTCCAGAAAGCGATAACGATGAACAGCCAGGACACCGTGCCTTTCAGAGAGGTTTCGTCACTAGCCTAGCTCTTATTAACGGTACCTGCACAATGCAAGAAGCCAAAGCCTACAGACAAGGTCTTCTTGATTTCTGCAGGCCATGGCACTGCTAGATCAAGCCAAGCTGGTGTTCATGTCCCTGAAGAGCAACCAGATGTTCTCGGAGTCGGAGCTGGCGGCGTGGCGCCAGAGGCACGCGGACCAGCTGCAGCAGCCGATCACGCCGGAGGGGAGAGAGGGCGGCGGCAGAGGCCCATCACGTCACGCAGCTGCGCCGCCGTTGCAGCCGTCCGCCGCCACGCCGAGGAAGAGGAGCGCCGCCGAGACGAAGAAGCAGGAGAACGCCAACACCGGAGGCGGCAACACTCCGGAGAACCAGAGAGGGAGGCAGCGCGGTGCCAGGGAGAGCAAGGCCACGCCGCCGGGAAAGAAGGCGAGAAAAGGTATCAAGCTGCCGTAAGCCAGCGCTGTTTCTGACTGACACTGAAATGTACTTAGCTGACACGCTGTTCCGATCCATGGGAGACGCAGCAGGAGCAGCAACGGCAGGCTTTAACGGCGGCACCGGCCCGGTGGCAACAAGGAGGCTCACTTACACCGACGAAGCTTCAGCCGATCGAGGCTGGCGGGCGATAGCGGCGACGCCGGTCTTCCAAGGCCAGCACGTTACACTCAGCGATGTAAGACCCACTGACCGACGACCACTGGGTGTATGGGTGGCCAAAAGCCTCTATTCTGAAGCATTTTTCTGGTGCAATGCAAATCGTGCAGCAGCCGCAGGAGCAGACGTTCCGAGGCAGCCTGCAGCGCTTCGTGCGGCACGCGGGGCTCAAGGCGCGCGTGGCCGCCGAGTTCAGGACGCTCGAGTGCGTGTCGCGGGCCAGGCACAGCCCCGTGCCGCATTGCTGGAACGGCTTCGCTCCCAGCGCCGGTTTCCTCCCGCCGTCGCCTCGACCTCCGGGCGCCGCCACCCCGGAGGCGCGGCCGTCGTCGTCAGATCAGCAGGCGGCGGCACCAGAGTGCAAGCTGGAGACGGACGAGGTGCTCAAGCTCTTCGTGCTCATGGGCACACCCGCCGCGTTCTTGAGCAGAGCCAAGAAAATGTTCGGCCATGATGTGCCAGAGGAGGAGAGCGCAGCGAAGGAGGGGCAATCGACCAAGGCTGCCTACGACGCTCGGGCGCGCGCTGACGCTGCAACAGCAGCCGAGACTGGGCACGGGAAGAAGAGCAGCGCGAGTGAGCCATCATCGGCCGCCGCGTGCGGGCCGTTCGCGCCGCCCAAGTTGGTCCCCGGCCGACTGGGCTTCGGCCAGTTCGCGGCCTCTTCAGCACGTCCGTTCAAGCTCAAGTCCAAGCCTTCGGCGTCGAATGCTTCCGGCAAGAAGAAAGTTTCGTGAATAATAGCTCCTCCATCTTTGTCATCTGTCTCCATCGACCATAATCCTGTCTCATCGAACTTGAAAGATACATAATAATTGGGTGATTTGCCTTCTATATACTTTCCAAGTATTTTGAAATCTATCTGTAACGCCTCTCTAATATATGGATCCCTATTTTTCTCCCCCCCCCTACCCCCCTAGTATTAAAGGGCATTGTCTTAAGAACGGACAGCCATTTTTAGGGGGGGCCACACCGGCACCTCCCTAACTCATGCCCTCTCTCTCTCCCCGTGCCCCGGCGAGCTCCTCCCTGGCGAGCTGCTCCTTCCGGCGGCGAAGGTAGGCGGGTTTCTCTTCCACCTGGATCTACGAGTTAGGGTTCCAGCGAGCTTTTCTTCTCTCTCCGTCTCATCTTCTCTAACTCTAGCGGGCTTAGAAGGGAAGGTTTAGGGAGAGGAAGGTCCGCCAGGTAGTGGGGATGGCTGGAGGGCGATTAGGGGCCTAACAGTGGTGGAGGCAACAGATCAGGTCGAGGCAGGGGAGCTTCAGCTAGAGGGATGGAGAAGGCAGCCGCAACGGGCACGCTAGGGCTTCACCGGAGCTCCACGGCGGCGGCAGGGGCGAGGGCCGCCGGAGACGAAGAAGACGACGGACGGACGGGGCGGAAGGCGGGGCGAACGGCGGCCGTGTGACTCGGTAGCCACGTCCATATTAAAGAGCCAAAGCTTCACTCCATTCTTCGGTCCCACTCTTTTACTCCGGATTTATGATTCTACTCATACGAATTTGAACAGCTTGCATGAGCAATGATGGATATCAGGTCCAATTTTAATACGTATTGGGTCGCACCCTCTGTATCTCGTATATGATTTAGACTTATGATTCGTGCTCATACAAGTTAGAATAACTCGTGTCTAGCTATGATACTGAATCTAATTCCTATACGTTTTATGTCCAAAATTTCTTTGTCTGTTTGTTTTTTATTATGCCCATTTTTATCCGCAAAAAAGCTGCTTCGTTCCCCTCTTATTTTCTTCAGTTTTTTTGTTCCGATCCGATCCCGTGTTTCCATTTTCCAACATACCATGAAATTTAAATGATTATGTGTTCGGGCAGCTAGACATACTTGGGTAAGACATTAGCTTAAATATTAGCTGTGAATTCAGAAATAGATGTTAAATAACTTTTAGCAGCTAAATAGTTACTTGGAAGGGATCTAAATAGGGCTTAAGTTTGCTCGAACGGGCCAAAATCCACCTAATTACTCCCTCCATCCCTAAATAACCTTCACCGTGTACGTGCAACTCATTTTGTAGAAAATACATACAATATTAGTATCTCCAAATAAATTTATTAAAAAATCTAGATTCAAAGAACTTTTCAATAATACTAATTATGTATCATAAATATTAATATTTTTTAATATATATTTAGTCAAAGTTATTTTTCAAAAAACGAAAACGACAGATATTTAGGAACAGAGGTTACACAAGTCGGGTCGGCTGGCCCTCAAACGTCTTGTTGTGTCAATTTAGACATGCCAGTTGCTTAACCTGTGTAAAAGTCATTAGTGGCGTGCTCCAACTATACGTTGCTAGTATTTGTACAATGGTTGCATAAAGATTATGAGGTAGCATACCATAACTTGACAAAATACTATACAACGTACATATGTTATATGTTTTAGTGGAAAAAATACATTAATTTTTCTCTCTCCTTTTCCCTTCCTATCCGCTGCGATTATTGCTGTACCTGTACTACTACTAGTTGGATGCTGTATACACAGCGCAATTGCTGCGATTGCTGTGCGTGTGCCAATCATTGCGGCGATTGCTGTATACACAGCGCGATAGATATGTACGGTGGTGCTGTGCCTGTGCGCGGTGATGCTCCGTTAGCCTCTCCTCCTGCTGTGATTTGTTTTCTATAGAAAAAATTATTTTCTATGATATGTGGATATGTGATCTTATGATTTGTGATTATCTAGATATAGAAAAAGACCGGAGGCTAGAGGTGGAAGGATGGTGAAAGCTGTTGATCTTAATTCTATAGTATAAAAAAATTTATGTGTTAAAACTACATAAAACACATAGTGATTGAGTAGACAGACTCGATACATGGGCATCCAAACGAAGCCTTAACACACATGGATTAGAATGGCCACAAACAAGACGTAAGGTGTGGCGACACTACTACTCTACTGTATTTGGCAACCAACCACAAACAAGACGTCAGCTTGGCTGGCCATAGGCACCCTTAGAGCAGGACGATCGCAGCCGCCAGCCTGTCCTGAACCGCTGATCCGACGGCGCAGATCGCCTCACCCAACCCTCCGCCTTCCCAGACCCTGCCATTAACCTCGCCGGCCCAGCCATGCACGCCGCAGTATAAATCCGGCCATCTCGCCCCGCTCTGACCACAACACTAGGGACGCGCCCCGGGCATGTGCTAGTAAGTAATAAAATGCAGGCAGGTTACGCCGTGTTCGTTTTGGCTGGCTTAGCTTATAAACCATGGCTGAAAGTACTGTTGACTGGTTTGGTGTGAGAAAAAAATATTGTTCGTTGGTTGATAAGCCATGGCTTATAAGCCAAATACGACCAAACGAACATTCTGTATACCCATCATAGCTCTTCATATTTTCAAGTTTGGCGGTGGAGAAGATCAAAGATAGGCATTATAGTTTGTACATTATTATTGGCAAACAGACCACAAGTTACAAGGGGCATATTATTACTACTCATTAACACGTAGTTTGGCTTATTGTAGGAGTCTTCTCCCTCACGACACCACATTTCTCAAAGCATTGGACGGCAGTAAACCTCATTCCCACCTACAGGGCAAGGTTTCTGCATTAGCTCACTTTGGAATGCTGATCCAACAGACTAGTGGCAGCCATGGGTGTCATCAACCTTTCCAGTTATCCTTGGTCTTCCTGACCTCTCTCAGTGCTTCAACTGGAGAGTTGGCACCGAATTTCGCCTGAAAGATTCACAAGGATAACCAATTAAGAGAGTCGTTCCGATGTAGTTGTGACTGGCAAGAAAGAAAATTCCTTCTAAGCGCTCTTCGTTCACAGACATCAACCAATTCTGCGCATGGATGTGGAAGGCAGTGCAAGGAAAGACTGAAAGTGTTTCAAGTGAGGGAGATTAACCTGTATTTCTGGTAGATCAACACGCATGAATGTATTTATCTCAAACTCATCTCCTATAGTCGAGGGCACTGTTGGCTGATTCGCTTCGCGCTGCTTTTCAGCCCATTCCAGTTTCTGTTTCGTCTTCTCATTCTCTGGCTCGACTGTCATTATGAATTTTAGGTTCTTCACAGTGTACTGCAACTCAACAAGCAACAGGTAAGATCATAAAGAGAAGTATGCCTCTACCAACACAATTAGTATACCATATTAAGAAAAGATAAACAAAACAACCAAAAAATGTTACTGGTTTTTTCTTGTTGGCAAAGTAATTACTATGCATGTCTCCACTCAAGTTGCCATCATCTTTTACAACAAGTTCAAAATCCCAAATTCAACCAAGCAAATTAAAAAGATCATGGACAAGCTCCTCACGGCTCAAGCACCTGTTATCAAAGATAGAACATGGAACGGAAAGGCGACGGGCCTAGTAACTAACAAACATACATGCTACATATACACAATTCTATAATCTCTATTAGCTAGGAACAAAAGGAGGCACACGTGAGCATCATATTTCTATATTAACTCCTTGCTGTTGGATTACATCCCAACCAACATAAATGTATTCAAATAAAACAGAACAAATCGTAGAATTTAGAATCTGCTACAAAAGAAATTCAATAAACAGTCAATCAATCTGGAAACTGCCTATTCCTGAGAACATGAAACAGAAAACAGTAGATTTGTACATATGTCCTTGATTCATTGATAATACAAGATTTACATCCTAATGACAAAGGGAGACACATAGTTACTTTATATACTCCACCATACAGGTTCAGTGGTTCACTAGCATTCAAGTTCCTCCTTAATGAAACTGATAGAATCAGAGTGAAAAAAAAAAGAGATCGTACCTCATGCCCACAGTAAACTCGAGTTGACTTTGGCAGCGAACCCAGTGTAACAATAAGGGACTGATACATTTGCTCTGCAGTACCCTCAAAAAACTTCCCACAACCAGCAATGAACTATATTTCAGAAAAAAGGTTAGGACATAACAATCGAAGGAATCATCCCTGTAAGCAAGATGTGTATACTAACCAAGGTATCTCCAGTGAAGACCGCTGGATCTTCCTCCTCCTTACTAGTAACATAGTAGCTAATATGACCTTTAGTGTGGCTGTTGAAAGAACGAAAAAAATGATAGGGACCTAATCAACAGGCTTTTACAGAGAAAACACATATAAAAGGATCACACAAAATTGAGATTTTATTAAAGGGCTCAACTAAGTTTCTCAAGATTAATGACATGGTCGTGCCACTCATCAGTTATTCTACTGAATCCATAGATTTCGTACGACTTTGGCAGTGGTGACTTATGTAAATTTCATACGACTTTGGCTGTGGTGACTGTTGTACTGCATAGATCCTGAAATAATCCTGCCACCCACATTGCGCTGATACCAGCTGTCACAAGCCTTGGCTGCCGACAATCGCTCGCCGGGGCATGAGACACAGGAGAAATCGAGAGGGATAATGCGCTGAGAAAAGGTTCCTGCGGTCACTGTTCTATTGCAAAATAATGTTCTGTTCCCACACAGAGTTCGGCTATTTAAGCCTCACACGCAAACGACTCCTGGCCCATGGGTCCCACATAAGTTTACTTACTACAAAACATGCCTGAATGATAATGAAACATTGAGCCGACATAGTTCCTTGAGCCGCTATGCATCAGAGCTGACATTATACCATAAACGGAGAGGTGAAACGTATGTTATAATAAAGCAAGAAAGGAGCATAGCGAACAGCATACCAAGGCGTGTGTAGGCATAGTATCTCAATGTCCTTCCCAAGTGACAACTTCGTTCCATTCTCCACCTGATCAGTGCAGCCTTTCACATTGTCCAGTGATCCTCCAAAAACCTTTATCCCTGGCACCTGCAGTCTCATCTTCTCATTGCCACCAGCATGATCCCTAAAATCACAAAACCGGTCACATGATTCATTAATGATGCATTAGACAATTGCCAATGAAGCCCACAAATGTTCAATTTAGTACAGACAAGAGTAGTTTGCGTATTGTGCCACCTGATACATATTTTCAAAGCATTGACCTTTCGGTCTGATATACTTTAAAAGTGGGAGCCGGAGAAATCCCCAGTTCCATTGAAGAGATGAAAACATTGTGGGAATGATGAAAAGGCCTATCTCCCAGCAGCCTAAGCAGCAACTTATAATTCTTAATTGGAAATGGACTACTCTAAGAGCTGAAAACAAACAAGAATGACTGCATCTGCATGAGGCACATATGTCAAGCACTATTAATCACATGTCCATTCAGGACTTCATTTTCCAGACCTCACTTTCCACTTTCTGCAAGGTGTATCTAGAGAATACTATGTAGACTTCATTACCAGAAAAGAACAATCAGTGTATATGTCTTGCATAGTGCTGTTCTTCTTGTACCATCAAAACCTGTGCACGTAGCAATTAAACTGAAATCATAGAAAAAAAAATCCCGGGTCGGAAAGGACTACCTATTAATATTTCTGAATTCCTATGTGCATACTGGATCGACTACAGGCCTGTTCGGATCAGCTAGGATGAGTTAGTAGTTGGCACTAAAAAATAGCCCAAATTAGCTGAGGTTGGCTAGCTAATTGGTTAACAAATAGTTGAAGGTGTCGCTAAAAAATTAGCCCACCTATAAGCACACCTGTTTGGAATGGGCTAGGGACTAATTGCGGCTAATTTTTGCCCTTGGTATCGAAACAGACCCTAAGACACGAGCAGTGGCGTTAGCCTGATTAAATAAATAACTATTGAATGTCTAAATATGAAGCCCTTTTATGTCTCAACTCGGAATAAGATGATGGCCAACAACTCATCAATCAAAGAAACAAGAATCAGAACATTCGAACACTAGCAAAGAAGGGAACCTAGCAAATAAACATCTGGAACTGGAAGGATATGGCATACCAGTGGTGATGGGTGGTGAGAACGCAGTCAACGTAGGCGCCAACCTCGCCGGCCGCCTTGAGAATCTTCTCCGGTTCCACAGGGTCAACGGCCACCGCCTTCTTGGTGCTCTCGTCCACGATTCTTGGAACGGAAGAAACAAATAGCAATCAAGAACTCAATGATTTGAAACGAACCGCTGAAAGAATAGGGTAAACAAGCGATGCAGGCTGATTCGTACAGGTAGGCATAGTTGTCCTCCAGGCAAGGGACCGGGATGATCTTCATCTGCGGATCCCCCGTGGGTGGGTGTGCCCTTGAGGCGAAATCTCTGGAGCGGAACCCCCTACGGAGAAGACTGGAAGCAGGGAGCAGCAGGTGGATATGGGTACGGAAGGTTTAAGAAAGGAAGAAAGGGGATTTTTTGAAACAAAAGGAAGAAAGGGAATGAAAACGACCGCTTTGCCGGCGGGAGTGGTGGAGGGTCGCGTCATCAGTGACCGTGATGAGGCCGCCTCGTCAGACATCAGTGGTCGATTGGTTGACCAAGGGTGAATAGGCCAGTCGATGTACTACCTCTGAAAAATTAAGGGCCTTGGTTACTCAGTGAGAATTACATATTTTGGAGGGAGTATTCTCTATCTGGTGTAGCTATAAAATAGAAAAATCTATATTTTTACCATTATAACGATCGTCACTTGTTAAAATCATATCCTTAGGATTACCATTATATATTTGCCTGAGGAGAAAAGTTTTAACATTGCTTTTACCATTTTTGCTCATGTGGCACGCCACGCCAGTCTGACACGCTGGTGTCCAGTCAGCACAGACAGGCAAAATGTCTGGGCTGCCTCTGGCCATTTCTACAATACATCATGTCAGGCCCGCCCTCGCCTTCTCCCTCTCTCATTTCATTCCACCGCCGCCTCCTACTCCCCTCCTGCGGTCCCAATGCAATCCAGAGCTATATGTCGCAAAGGGCAGCACAAACAATGAAAAAGTTCATTTTTCACATCAGATTCTCCAACGACGGCACCCTTGGCATCATGTTCCTCCATAGATATGTCGTTGAAGAACCACTACTCTGGTCTCACGCCTTGGTCTTTGTGCTCTTCTATCGTCGTCCTATGGGGTCGTCTCTATTGTCTGTGGTCCTTGTCACCTCGCCGGTCCATGTTGGAGCTCTCTGTTGTGCGTGCTCTGTGTGTGCGCGCTTATCCTTCGTCTTTGCCATGGTTGGTCATATCGTCTTTGTCGTTGTCTTTTAGATTTTTTGTGGTGGATGCTTGGCCGTCATTGGTCTCTTCCCTGACGAACGCTTCGGACTTCGTGGATGCTTTGCCACTGAGATCACATCCCTATGGCGGATGCTTTGCTGCCGTGGTCGTTTGGGGCTCCCCTCTGGTGGATGCTTTGTCGCGGATGCTTGTGTCATCTCCTTTGAGCGGATGCTTTAATTTGCCACCATGGTTTTAGTTCCTCTGTAGGCAATCATTACGTCGATATCTTTTATTTTCACAGGCTCAGCATTTTGTTGGGTATCATGGCTGAGGATCCTTCCCCTCGCTTCTTCTTGCTGTTCTAGTTTACTTTGGGTTGCCTACCACTGTCAGTTTGTAACTTGTGCTACGAAAGCTCTAGTTGTGTCGTGTAATTCTATTGTTGCTAATGAAAGACGTGCTAAGGCATCGTCAAGGCATGTTCGCGTAAAAAATAGAATTTGAATTTTAAATATAAGAACTTGATACATATATTTAATTTGGGCCACCTGAAACTCATTTTCAAATAAAAGATCATCGACTATGAAGTTATAAATCTTGTTGATCTCTGCAAGTTTGAATAAAGTTCATCTTCATCTGGCTTAAACTTGAAATTTGAATTTTTTGGTGTTACACCTATTTCTAATTTTCTATATGTACGGTCATATATATTACCGAAGAGTGCCCGAAATTTGATTTCTATATGTACGGTCTTATATACTCCCTCCGTCCAAGAAAAAATGCAATTCTACCACAGTGTCGCGTTTTAGTGTCTAGACTTTGACCAATTATAGATAAAAAATATTAATCTTTACGTTATCAAATAAATATCATTAGATTAATTATGAAATGTATTTTCATAATAAATTAATTTGAAGTCATAAATATGAATAATATTTACTAAAAACTTGGTCGAATGAAAACTACTTTTAGTGGCACACAACTCATACTTGCATTCTTTTCTTGACGGAGGGAGTATTACTCAAAAAAATGTATGTATAAACCGGGGGCTGGGAGGGGGTGTCTCCGCAACACCAAACTATAGAAATAATAACATTCTAGCCGTGGGTTGGCGTTGCAGTTGAAAATAGAGTTATTTGTAGAAAATAGTTGAAAACACTAGCCATGGCTAGAAATCGATTTTCAGAGATAGATGCACCCACCAAATAATTTCTGATGTTTCTTTTTATCTGAACGCGGTTAAAAAGACTGGGCACCTCTAATTAAGAACTGTTTCAGCATCACAGTTTTAAGATCGGCTAAAGAGTACTGTATATATATAACGATACATCGAATAATCCACGGCGCACCGTATATAATAACAATACACCATTATTTATTGAGGAAGTGCTTCATACGATAAACCGACCTGACAGCTCTAAGTAAGGCCTTATTTGGATGCTTAAAAGTACACCTCAATCCACCAGCACCAGGGGCGGACCCAGCGCTAGGGCAGCCCAGGCCATGGCCCTAGTCGCGGCCCATGTTTCAAGGGAGCATGTCTTCAGTTTTGGCCCATGAAGCAGCCCAACATATGAAGCCCAGGGAAGGAGTAGGGCAGCAGACGCTCAGTGCTTGCTCGCTGAGTCGCTCGGTCTTCCATCGCTCGCGACTCGTGACCGCTGCCGCCACCGACGTCGACCCGCCCTCGCGGCCTCGCCCATCGCCCACGCTGTCCAAGCCAACACACGCACGCTGCGCCGCCCTCGCCCCTCGACCCTCCACTCTGCGCTCCCGGTCCGCTCATGGCGTCACCCCTCCGCTCTAGGCAATCATGGGTGTGCGCGCTTCTTCTTCCTCGATCGGCGCCGCCACCACCCTTCCCATTGCCAGGGCGGCGGCAGCCCTTGCTTTCTGTGTGAGCAAAGAGAAGAGCATCTGAGCAAGGTTTGGATCTGAAACTGATTTTGATTCTAAATTTCTAAGTTCCCAATTTCGACTCTTTGATTCTAATTTCTCAATATAGTGTATATGAAGAAGGGGACAATGACTTTAGTTTCGTATTTCTCTCGAGTTCCTGAGCAACAGGGAGATGCCAAACAACAAGCTACTCTATTCTCAGCACCTGATCTTATTATTAACCTTTACTTGATCATTTTCTTATTAACCTTTTGCTTGCTCCTTTTCTTATTAGGAGTTGTTATTGAGGACATGGAAGTAGACAATGCGAATGCACCAAATCGTCACTAGACAATAGGTATTTATTTTCAATGTTCCATGATATTTCTTAGCTATTGTATCGTACTATTAATTATATCAATGCAGAAATTCTCTTGATTTGCAAACTTTACTTGAGAATAATTGTTTTATGTGGCATACATATACATATCTATATATATGGTCCTATAGACTGTAGCTTTCGATTTTTGCCGCTAGGGCCAAATCCTGGGTCGGCCACTGACCAGCACACATGGATTGAAGTGTATTTTTAAGCATCCAAACATACCCTAAACATAGCACTATATAGTACAAACATGTAAACATGGCCTTGCATCTCCGTCAGAAACACCCGATGTACATACATACGCCAGGTAGACGTAAGACCTAAGACGTACGTGTATTATTGAGCAACTCCCGGTGTAGTGCGTCTGCATGTCCTCATCAGACCTCTCGAAGACCTGAAGACCGAAGGCTGGCACACGTCCGGCGTCCCAGCCGTCTGAGCAATGCTAGAGCGAAGGGACCTCAAGCGGATCCTGCGACAGAGGGTGTGGATACACCGCTCTGCCGGGCTGGCGATTAGCAAGAGACCCGTGCCAAGTGAGCAGCTGCGCAGAGCAAGGTATGTGTGATCGTGTCAGGGAGACCCATGAATCATAAATCTTGAAGATGAACACGCGACGCGACGCAGCTTAAAATTACGCGAGGCAGAAAAGGTGCCAAGACAAGCTGTGTAGTTCTGCTGCTGTTACCTTGGCATTGGATCCATCGGGGACTACACGTCCCTCGCTCTTGACCCTCAGGTACTCCGCGCGAGAGAACTAGGTGAACCCCCTGAAACACACATGCATCAAAGGCTGAGATCGAGCATATATAAAGCAAAATGGCCAGTGACAGCAACAATTAAAAGCACCTGTACGTACCACTTGCCGCTGGTGATGATCCGCTGGCGGCCGGGGAACTTGAACTTGGCCCTGCGCAGCGCCTCGTGCGCCTGCGGCGCGTGCGCGTCCCGGCAGCGCACGGAGAGCAGCACCTGGCCGATGCGGACGCGGGCGCACGTCCCCGTGGGCTTGCCGAAGGCGCCGCGCATGCCGGTCTGCAGGCGGTCGGCGCCCGCGCAGGAGAGCATCTTGTTGATGCGGAGGACGTGGAACGGGTGCGCGCGCACGAGGAGGTGGAACGCGTCCTTGCCCGCGTGCTTCGCCATGTACTTGTTGCACGCGATCCGGGCCGCCTCCAGCGCCTCGCTCGACACGTTCTCTTTCTCCCAGCTCACCAGGTGCACGCACAGCAGGAACTCGTCGACGCCGCGCTTCTTCTGCCCCACGTCGAAGATGCGGATCTTCGGGTCCGGGACGCCCCGGCAGTAGCGCGACTTCGGGTACGGCTTGTTCTTGATCTGACGGTAGCACCGAGCAGGTCCTGCACTTTGCACGCACAATCCATCGTCATCTATGGTTAGTAGGACTAGTTCATGTTTGATTTCCAGTTCTAGAGAGGAAAATGGACGACGAAAATGAAGTGGTTGAAGGAATTGGGTGCTTACGCCTGCCCATGGCGGAAAGTTGGACGTGACAAGTGGTGAGCTGGTGGGTTCGAGTCTTCGAGAGCCTTTGTGCTGCGTGTGAGGTTCCGTTCCGGAGCGTGCGGGAGAAGGGGAGGGCCAGGTGGTGGATATATAGGCCCTGTTTGGCATGACTCCAACTTTGGGTGGAGCTGCTCCACTCCATAACTCCAGGTGGAGCTAGCTCTGGGTGGAGTTGGAACTGTCTGATGGAGTTGTTTGACTGGGAGGGTACCTTCAGCTCCAAAAAGACAACTTTTAGGATGAATTGTCATTGTTACCCCCAACTCACGTCCCCACATGTCAGCCTCTCCACCCTGTCTTCTTCTTCGACAGGACAAACGACGGCGAAGTCCTAGAGATTCCATCCCCATTAATCAGGACGAACGACGGCGAGGACGAGCAGCAAGCGCTGATAACAAACACGTAAGGCAAGGAGACAGTTGGAGGTTACCGAAGAAGTCGAGTAGGTTGTGGCCGTTGGAGTATCGGCCGGAGGGGCGGCCGAAGAAGGTCTGGCCGGAGGGGAGGTTCCGCGTGGGGTCCGGAAGTCGTCAGCACGGAGAGTAGGAAGTTGCCGTATCCGTGAGCGAGTCCCCAAACTCAACACCGGTCGGCAGACGCTCCCTCCTCCTCCGCTCTGCTACCGCCACCGGCACCGCCAACACCACGAGCAGCACCCCCAAGAAGAGCAGAGAGCCACCATGACGGAAATGCCATGGTGAAACGACGGGCCGTGCCGATCTGGAGCAGAGGGCGGGTTCTGCGGCAAGCGGCGGGGCGGGGCTAGGAGACCAGCGGCGGGCCTAGGGTGGCTGGGTGCGGGGCTCGGCTGGACGGCGGCCGCCGGTCTGCCTGGCGGCGGCGGAAACGGCGCCGGTCCTAGAAGAGTCAGGACGGAGATCCCCCGCGGGAATGGGAAAATGGGATGCGTGGGGAGACTCGGAGAATAGAAGCGAAACGTTTTTTTATGTAATCAGTGGCATTGGTGGATAATTACCCATCAACTCCACGAGGAGGTTCAAAAGAGAGGGTTATAGAGCAGCAAAAGAGGTGCTCCAAAACTCCACCTCCATTTATACTACAGCTCCATGGAGTTGGCAGCTCCATAGAGTTTTGGAGTTGAGGTGTTTGGCTAAATTTTTTGATGAAGTTACTGGAGTTTAGGAGTTGAGCCATGCCAAATAGAGAGGAAGACAGGCAGGCCGCCGCGGCGGGAAGGTTCTGGTTCGCCAGGAACGCGTGGCGTCAGGCGGCCAATCGGCGGAGCTTGTGTTCGGGCTGGCTGGGATTCGTTCATTCATATCGTAGGCCGTGACGCTGACGCCTCGGCGGCTTGCTTCGGTCGTTGTGGGCTGGGGATGGAGCCGTGGAGACGTGTTGGGCCGTCGTCGTGGGTTTGGTTTTGACTACTCCATGAGGCCGAGCCGAATGCTTGGTGGGCAAGCGAGGCGGCGGCGGCCCGTGGTCGACACGCCACGGGAAACGCCTGCTGGCCGCTGCTGGTCCGATTGTCTGAAGACTCTGAACTGTTCCCGTGGCCGCGCGACCTGCTGCATTTCTAGCTCTTTACGATGCGAAAGGACTGTTCAGCTGTGCTGTGGTACTTTGTTTTGTTACAAACACAAATTCAAGTGTCGAAGCAGAAGAAGCAATGTTCTTCTTCTTTTATATCCTCTCCGAACAAAAAAAAAAAGAAGAAATCAAAACGACTTATAATTTGATTTGAAGAGGATAGAGTATATGCTTTTACGGCCTGTGCTTATTCCACGTTGCCCATTCGTTTACATATCGCTTTAACACTTTCCCAGCAGTCTGTATGCTCATCCTTTATGATGAGGAAATCAATCAGGCAGCTGGTCTACGATCCAATGACCGACCAATTTGCTTCAGGGGACAAAGTACATGGGGTTGGGTATCTTGAACACGCGGTCGCCGACACTGTCGCCCTGCAGGTCGCTCCACTGGTCCCCGACGTTGCCGCGGATCCTGTAGCCTTCGTCCACGAGCTGCCTCCTAATCGCCGACTTGAAGATCGACGAACTCTGCCCTCGGTACTCCGGAGTCCTGCAGGCACCCATGGCACGTCAGAACGCAATTTCACAATCTGGCCGGATGACGTTCCTGGTGGCAATTTGGAGGTAGATAGAGATCGTGACTGGCTGCTCGTGAAAGGAGGACCGTCCAGCGGCCTTTTCCTATTGTCAGTGAATCTGAATGTTCAGCCCAGCCGTCCACGTCACCGACGCACTACGTGGCTTACGCTCGGCTAGTACTAAGATAGAACCAAGTGGAAGAAGTTGTTCTGCACTGCACCTCATGATGAGCCTCTCGTACCCGGAGAACCCTTCTGCTTCCAAGTTGGCTGCCGTGCACGAGCCCAGGGTCTCCTCGTCCCTCCCGGAGAGGAGGAAGACCTTGAAGCCCTTGTCCAGCAGCGTCGTGAACAGCCCAAGCACCGGATGTATCCCCGGGCACGCCTCCCTGCTCGCCCAAGCCTTGAACGCCAACGGGTCGTACGCCCTGGAAGAGAAGAGACGCCCAGAGCGAGCCGCAGGTCAGGTGCTAAACAGAGAACGGCATGCAGAGGGGAGCTAACAGTAGCAGTGGATCGAGAGATCGAGCCATGCCGACATGCATGCCGTGCGTACCCGAACTGCTTGGCCTCGTAGTAGAGCAGGTTGGAGAGGCAGGTGTCGTCGATGTCGAACACCCAGGCGTCGAGGCCGTCGGCGTCGTCGGCGATCTCATCGGCGTAGGCGGACGCCTGGTCCATGACGTTGGCCAGGTCCCGCTGGTACTGACCCCGGGTCATGTACCCGTTGACGTACCCGACGCACTGCGCGGGCACCGTGCTCCACCCGCGGGCGTTGTTGGCCTCCACCATGACGCGCCAGCTCAGACACCCAGCGTCGTCGGACGCCTGGCCCGGCCACAGGCACTGCCGCTGCCTCGCGACGACGACGGTGGCGCTGAGGAACAGGTGCGGCAGCAGAGCGAGGAGCATGAGCTGCCGCCACGGGGCGAGCGTGCGCGAGACCATTGGAGCGATGCTGCCCGTCACCATATCAATCAGGTTTCGCCGACGTACCGCAGCCACTGCAGGGATTATTCATAAGCTGGCAGTGAGACATAGTTAGATATTATTATCAAACGAATTCAGCACAAACGAGAGATTCATTTCATTTCATGTCACCATCGCAATCCGTTGCCGGACCAATGGTCCAATGCAAAGAAAGATAGAAGCAAGCCTGAGACAAAAGAAGGACAAGAAAAAAAAATCCTATCTGAGATAGAACTACGACTACCTGGATGTGCCAGCCAATGCGGCAGCCAAGAACAGAGACCAGGCTCAGGCTGGTGTCAAGGTAACACTCAGTGCATGGGTTTTTATAGTGAGTTCAGGACGATGGCATGAGTCACCGCCCAATGCGAAAGCAAGCTGCTAATGCAAAAAGCATGATTACGCCATGGAATTAGCGGGAGGCCGGAAGACATTCCCCGAATGCGACCGGATTCAGGATTAGGTTTTGTTTCTCTCGGTGACGGAGAGTGAGGCCACGGCCACCTCAGGATGATGCCCCCATTTGCACCGCCAGCGCCCCCGGTGCGCGCCACGTGGACCCAACCGCGCCGCCGCTGCAGCCTGACGGCGACGTTGCGGTCGTGCGATGGCGACCTTGGCTACCGGCGGCTCCTTTTCCGCCGATAGAGTAGTAGGCAACTATGGCCTGTGCGGCTGTGCCTCCAATCAACAGTCGCAGCGGGGCAAAACGTTTTGGTAGAGGTTGAACCTCCTAGAAACGGCATGAACAATGCAAAAACCTCTGGAAAAAATCATATGAAACAATTTGATTCCCACGCGGGAAACACACACACACACAAAGAGTTACAAAATGGTGCCTGCAGACTTGGACAGATATCGATGTTGACTACTTTCAGTTTTGCCCTACATGAATTCACCTTCTGATTGCGCCAACACGAAGTCAATGCTGAAATGAGTTGCCATGCTCTATAGTATATTTTATATTGAATAAACTGGACCAGTGTGCATGAGTCAACGCCAACCTGATCGATGCTTACAGACTAAGCGGCAAGAAAGCCGCCACCTCAAAGAGATTCGATTATTATTGGACGATGTTAGCACTTGGCAATTGTAACAGGGAACGCTACAAGTCCGTAGCCACTCACCATCAGTGGTGGACGGATAAAGGGCAGAACAGGTACCGCCTAATCTAATGTCTCGTATAAGTATTTATGTTTCATTAGACACTAAATATCTAAGGGGCAATATTAAATTACGCAGTTTCGTCGGGCACACTCTAAGGGAAAAACCGAAAATCCATATTTTTTCATCAGAATCATAAATGAGAGAATAAATGTTACAACATTTTAGCTATTTCTTACATCACTTTTCATACAGCATCATAGTACAGTATTTATTGATTATAACAGCGGAATCTACCCATGTTGGCCCTGTTCGCTTCTCTTATAATCCGTATTTTTCAGCCTGTTTTTTTTAACCGGAACAATGTTTTTCTCTCACAACAAATCAGCCGGAATAATGTTTCGACTTATTTTTTCAGCGAAGCGAACGGGGCCGTTATCAGAGTTATGAACAATTTAATTTAACAGCGGAATATAAACATGCGATCAGAGTTACAGCGAAAATAAATATCTGTTCATAACATAATGAAGCATCGATGTATAAACTAAGACAACAGATTATAAAACTTTTATTTATAAAAATATTTAGCGAGACTTATGAATAAAAAAACTATGATCGCAGCGTAAAGTAATCATCTTTGAGCCCACCAGGAGGGATCCACATAAGAGTCAGCTCTAACATCCGCCTGTCACCTGCAACAGGAGGAAATAAAACTCTGAGTACTCATTTGTACTCAGCAAGACTTACCCGTCAAGAGAAAATAAAAGACTCCAAGGATATGCAAGACTATCTGGCTTGTAGATTTATTGCATCTGCTGGAGCATTACTAAACGTGCATCCTTATATTCAATTTTATTAGCAGTCGGCATTTGTTCATTAACTAACCATTCTATGTAAGTGCATGTACTACTTTCAAGCAGGTGGTAAGCAATCAGACCATTTTACCATATTTCATATTTCAGTTCTTACTACGATGCCAGATTGTAGACAAGTCGTACCGGATCACCCTGCGATTCATGAACCGATGTATCCCAGCTGGGTATCCTGAAACACACGCCCTGCTTGTACCCCAGGCACAAACAAGACCAACCCACTACCCTCCTATCACGAGGTCCAGGTCCCCGTCCAAACTTGAACTTCAAGCCCCCGCTCCTGAGTCTCGGACTCAGTGTGGTGCTTAGACCTCCACCATCCCCGTCTCCAATCAGTCGGTCCGGAAAGAGCCGGAACCCATGACAAGAGAGCAATGAGCCTTTCTACGCCCATACACAAGTATGTGTCGGTGCAGAAAGTGACCAACAAGTAAATATTTTTAGTTTTGCCATACGTTGTGATCGGAAGTGGCCTAGCACTTAATGACACAAGGTTTATACTGGTTCAGGCAATGTGCCCTACGTCCAGTTTGGGTCAGTAGGTGACTTTATTCCTGAGCCCAGGCGCTCGAAGTTTGCAGTGGGGTTACTAACAGGAAGGAGAAAGATGGGGGTTACAAGAGGTCCAGTCGGACTCCGGTCGGAAGGGCCGAGAGTGACGGGAGCCCCGCTATGAGCTAAGTGTTCAAGCGTGTGCTTGAGGTTCGAACCTGGCGGTTCTATGGTTGTGGACTAATGAACTTGATCGATCTAATGAATCTGTCTGTTTGAAGAGAGCGCATCCCTTTTTATAGATGAAGGGGATGGCCTTACAAGTGAGAGGAGGAGAATACGTATGCTTCTAAGCCTTGTTGCCCACGCCGGCGGGTACAGACGATGGTAGGCGCCCACAACACTGTTGGATGTCAGATGCACGTGGGAGGTTATGTTGTCTTCTTCAGGTATGGCAGACGTCGGCGCCTGCCACACTGTTGATACCTAGAGGCATGCAAGGGTTTCACCATGTTCGCCTGATACGGTAAATGCCGGTACCCACAACACTGTTGATGCCCAGAGACATATGGGGGGAGCCTTACCGTATGGGAGTTAATGACGCCCACGACACTATAGGGAAAAATGTGGGCGCCTACAATACTACTTGGGCTCTACCATACCAGGGAGGTTGCAGAGTACTGTTTCTGTAGGTGTACAGGGTACAGACCCTAGTATTGCGGTTTGACTTGTGCGCCCTACTTTACTTTCTCTGTCTGTTTCCTGGTCCTTATCGAGCGGGCGTCCCCGGTCGGTTGGTCCCAGTCAGCTCTGATCGCGCTAGTCAGAGAAGAGTAGTGAGCAGGGTTTTGGTGCATCCCTGGTCAGGGACGCCGGTCGGAGTCAGAAGTAGTGTTTTTGCCAGGCCTTCCGGTCGGAGAGGCCATCCGGAGGCGAGCCGAAGTCGGTAAACGGGCGTCGTTCCTCCTCGGCCAGGCCTTCCGGTCGGTGATTGGATCGCCCTTCTGGCCTGTTGTTTAGGTACTTAGGCCGGCTCATGAGTCGCGCGTTGTTTGCAACGTTGCCTGCTGGACCGAGCCTTTGTTCGAAAGCCGATCCGTGAGGGACCCTGGTTTTATGAACCCGACAGGAGCCCCCGAGCCCCCGAACGATTCGGGTAGAATCATCTGGGGATTTTTGTCTTGTTGGCGGGTGCGCTCGAGCGCACTCGCGGGTGTAGCCCCTGAGCCCCTGGGCGATTTGGGCAGAATTGTCTGGTTTTTTTTTGTGTTGCCAGCGGGGGAGGTTTTCATTTCGTCAGCGGGTGCGCGCGAGCGCACCCGCGGGTGTAGCCCCCGAGCCCCCGGGCGATTCGGGTAGAATCGTCTGGGGGTGTTTGTTAGCGGTTGTGTGTGCGTGTTTTTTAGTTGAGACAGAGTCGTCAACCAAGGCATCGTTGCGTAGCCGAGGCGGTTAGTTTTTAGGGATCGAGTGAGACGGAGCTCGCGGATCTTGGCGTCGATGCGTGCCATGGGATTGGGCGAGGCAGTTAGTTTAGGGATCGGACGAGACGGAGCTCACAGGTCCTGGCGTCGGTGCGCGCCGTGGGATCGGGCGAGGCAGAGTCGTGGATCCTGGCCTCGGTGTAGACCGCGCAGCCGAGGCAGTTAGTTAGTTAGTTTAGGGATCGAGCGAGCCGGAACTCGCGGATCTTGATGGGGTGAGTTCGGGGTCGCAGACCCAGGCATTTGGTGTGCAGTCAAAGCGTAGCCAATGGATGGGGCGGGTTCAGGGTCATAGACCTAGGTGTTTGGTGTGCAGTCGAAGCATAGCCGATGGATGGGGCGAGTTCGGGGTCGCAGACCCATGCGTTTGGTGTGCAGTCGAAGCGTAGCCGATGGATGGGGCGAGTTCGGGGTCGCAGACCTAGGTGTTTTGGTGTCTTGAGCCCCCGAGCCCCGTTGGGCCTTGGTAGGGGTTGGTTTGAGTTGTGTGCGTTACCCCGTCCTCGGTTTCTCACAACCAGAGGGCTGAGCTTTGTCGCTTGCCTTGATCGCTCGGGCTCGAGTGACGTGCTCGATGAGTTCGCTAACGGGTATGATCGAGTGGAATCCGGGTCCGTCGTTCGTGACAGGGTCGGCATAGCCCTCTTATGACATTCCACTGCTCCTTTACTTGCAACCCGGTAGATGCCTGGATCATTCCGGAGATCGACCCGGGTGGCCTACTGGCCTCCCCTCGATGGAGATTCTATGGGCTTGGCAAGAGGTTTAGGATCAAACGAGAAGGTTGAGATGACCCTGTCTACTTTGGGGCAGACTGGGCGAGGGCCACACGGGGCTCATCTGTGTTTTCTCCCCTGGCTCTGTTTGATGTGGGGTGGCCTCAAGCCCTTCGTAGGCCGGCCTTCGAACCCCGGTCGGACATTGCTCATGTCGAATGAGGCAACTGCCGCTTCATGACGCAACACGGAGCGTTGTGATGCATTTTGCTGCACGTGCGATGCTTTAGTTCCTGAGCCCCCGGGCGGTT